CAAGGTCTAGTTTATATGCATGATTTTAGAAAAAATGCAAATTTAGTTGAACAATATATTTTATCAAATCATGCACGTCATTCGATTTATCGTTGTAGCTACATTAAACATGATGTAAATAGATGGGATGTGAAAACTTGTATCATATGAAACCCATATTTCATGTATTGACTCTTCATATTTCCGTTCGAGCATTCCAGCTTTGGTAGCCATTGAGCGAAGCCCAGAAATATTTCTCGCCATGATAGCTTGTGAACACATTTACTGATTTTAATTTTTTTTTTGACCTGCAAAAGTTAATCATCGTTCAATTAGTTCCTTTTTTGTTTTTTTTAATACAAATGATCACTGTTGGATTCTTGTACAATTCGCGTCAACTTGTTGAACATCGGAACTTATATTCATACGACGAAACTAAACCTCAACACTTGGGAAGACATACTTATGATCATCAGAGAATCAAAGTCAACCTGTGATTAGCACAGATGTTTACATCAGTGCTAAGAAATGAAATTGAAATCAAAATCAATCGTCTTATATTCCACGCAACCTCAATGATATATTAAGAGGAAAATGGAGACGAGAATCTCCTTAAAGGGTATCAGCTCTCGTGTAGAAAATCCTTAAAGAACATACCACAGACAAGCAGAACCATATCAGATCCATTATCATGGGACTCACGTCTAAAATTGCTTATGCGTATTTCATATAGGACCTGCCTATGGATCTAAACTCAAGTAATAATGGTCATGGTCTAGCCAAGTGAGTGAACAACTAATAAGTTACTTTATACGTGTAAGGACAAGTAAGCAAACAACAATCTCAAGTTCCACACCGATGCCAACAATAATGCAAATACTGTTATGTAGATCACAGAAAGAGGAGCTAGTTATTCGGCCTTGGCAGGGAGATGGTTGCCGCCAGTTGCCAGTTTGAACAGATAAAACCCAGTCATGAGAGCACTGCAATTAAAAAAAAAAAAAAAAAAAAAAAACAACAACAACAACAAATTGTATTAGCTTAGAAATGACGTTAAGTAGCAAAGAAGTCTATATGTCGTTTTCCTATCAGAAAACACACTATATCGATCACGAATATCTAAAGGCATTCACTTAAATCTTGTTCAACAACATAACACCATACAATTTCAACTATGAACCAGTGATGTGAATTGTCACTCGCCTCAACACCTAAGGCTGAGTTATTTGTGCTCCATGAATCATGACTACCTGTGAGCAAACTGTTCCTAGAAGCTTAGCATCAAATGGAGCATGAGCTTGTGCCCAAAGTTGTTTAATTTTACATACGAGAAACCAAAAGTCTGAGTGCAAGAATGCTAGCTTATAAATATCAACTAGAGAAACTGATTACATAATCAACAAGAAGTTCTGAAATGACGATAAGACTTCAACTCAGCAAGGTTTTACAGAGGCTTAGCATTGACTGAAGCTGTAGAAATCAACACTATAGCCCAACCTTTTTTTTTTCAAAAAAAACTACTCATTTCCATTCTCTCCTCTTTCTCCTTGTGCAAATCCACATATGAAAATAGAATTTCTCATAATGTTGCGACACTTTCACAAATTTACTCTGACAAGAAAGTAAAAATAACCTGATATTCTCAACTAACATGGTATTGATTGGTGCTGGGACGGGCATTGCCTTAATATATAGACGTGAAGATTAAAAATTAAGGTGGTGGATATTAAGCTATAATTAGCTTACCTTATCCCTGCAACAAGACCAGCAGGCATGAACTTTGAAGTTTGCAGGTAACGCTGTCCCATGACCCAAGTGAGTATAGCTGCGCAAACTGTTATTCATAACAAAAAAGCTAATTAGAAAGTGTATGAAGATGACAACCACAATTATAGAGACATCACTACAATGGATCGAAAGTTATGATAGATTCTTCCATCCCATTCCATTTTCACTTTCCTCTTTGCTTCCCACTTCCTCTACCAAGCATACCATAAATTGTGATCCGTCATGAATGTCTTCGATCACAAATGACATGATCTAAGAATCACAAACCCTGACACCTACGCGAGACACGACAAAGAACAGAAAAGGACAAAATATAATTTGAAGCGTAGCGTTGGATATAAGCGTCAGATATATATGACTTATGAGCGATTTTCAAATATAGTTTTTTCAACACCAGATGAAGCTGCGCTCTTATCGTTGCCAAAGATGCATCACAAAACATCTTTAAAAAAAAATCATTAAATCACAGTTAAAGTATCTCGAGATAGTGACAGAAAAAGACAAATAAACAAGAATTACATCGAACTCAATGCTATCTTTAACCAACGCTCTGTCTCTGTTATTCATTCAAGCACTTAACGAGTCCCTTTGCTAACTATCCATTTACCACCATATTAATTTAGATCCTCTTGGAGGCTAGAAGCTTTTAAACCTTCATGGCATTTAGTAGAAACACAAAACAGGGTAAAATTGACCCTAAGTACACGGAGAAGAGAACTTCATTCAGAGACAGAATTAAGAACCAGAACCAAGTCAATCACTGAACTGGAATCAAAATAAGCATTTCTTAAAAACAACCGTACCCGTCTCAAGAATCAAAGCAAAGTACGAGTTCTTTCTCTTTTCAAAGGCTTTGAGACTCAGATAACCAGCGATGATGAGCAACAAACCAGTACCTACGCCTCCACCCAGAGAAGCAATGCTTCCCTTTCTGAAATATCCGAAGAGTCCTCCACCCACCAAGAGCAACCCATACGGAATCGTGAAGCAGAAATCGTGCATTTTCTTCGGATGGGATTTTCCTGGCACAATCAGATTCTCCAAATCGGACAGAATGAGACTATGGAGTTTCGTTCCCAGATCAAATAATCAAAATCTGTAATTTCGTCAACTGTGGACCAAGTGGCGTGTGGAGTACCACGGGTCAAATTGCATTCCAATTTACCCCTGGACTATCGTCTAATCTCGATATTGTCCTCAGCCAACGCCTCGTCCGGTTCAATCCAATTGCTATTCTAATTATTTAGAAAAATTACTGAAAAGTTTGTTACAAAATTTTTATTCTTATCTAAGAATTTAAATAATATAATTCATATTGTATGGGACATTCATCATGTTAAAAAGACCTTTTAAATTCAAAATTTTATTACGTTATAGCATAGAAAAATCTTCATGGAGCTGAAAGTTAACTTAACACAAATGATAACATATTTATTGATTTATTAAAAAATAACATTTACCTGAAAAAGTCTTAATTACGTGCCACCTTGCTTGGGGAGTTTATCTTCGCCTCCAAGTATCCTTTTCCCTAACTTGGAAGCATTCCAAAGTATTCTAATCAAACAAATATGATGTTTGAAAAGTTCATATTTCACCCATTTATTTTGTCAAAGTCATTTTTTTGTACAGTTCATATGTTTGAAAAAATGTCAAATATTCAAATTTAAATTAAAAATTTCAATTCAAACTTGAAGCATGAAGAACATTGCAAAAAGAAAAAATTAAAAGAAGATTCTAAACGAATATCATATTCAAGTTTATGTAAGTTTTGATCCCTAAAATTTAGATCTATTTTTGATTTTGATCTTTTAAATTTTAATCATGTAGTTTTAGTCTTTCAAATTTAGTCCATCTTAAAATGTCATTTCTTAAAAATATAACGATGCTAAAATTTTCTGAAGTGTCATGAATAATGTTAAAATGATGATATATACTCATTAGATAATGTTTAGATGAATTTTGTGTAGATAACATACTACACAAAGGGAATGTGTTCTTAGAAAACACATAGTGAATAGCTCCTCAAATGAATAACGAGAAAAAGAAGCGACTAAACAATTACATTTTGAAGACATATTCTTTTTTCCCCCTTTTATTATCTACAAAAGATCCAATCAAGTGCGATATGATGAGTTTACATTATCATTTTAACATCATGGTATTTTAGCATATTTTAATACTACTACACTTCTAAAAACTAATATTTTAAAATAGATTAAATTTTAAAAACTAAAATCATGTATTTTAAATTTGAGAGATTAAAATTAAAATAAATCTAAATTTCAAGAATCAAAAATAGGATTAAACCAACGGTTTATTTAAAATGACATGGCCTTCTCCCATGACGGTAAGGATCTCTACAAAAGGGACCACCGTTGCGTTCTACAGATTCTGATTATGTGGCGCGACATGGACGTTCGATCTCCTTGACGGTAAGATTTTTTTTTTAGGCCAAAGGACGGCTAAGATTAAAAACATCCCAAACTGTGAGATTTCGGACCCGGCGCCGGGATGCTCAGGCAGGCGCTTCCGTACGCGCTGTTTTCTTCTTCCCAGGTAATGGCGTATCCGAACATCCTGATCCGATCTAATACCCGGTTCTCTCTTTCGCCCTCTTCAATGCTGCACACCCAAACGAAACCCCTCCTTCTTCTTCGAACCCTAATCATGTCGATATCGCCGAGCCAATCCAAGAGACCCTCTGGCCCATCATGTTCTAAACCCACCCGAACATGCCTGTGCTCTCGGATTCTGACCTCCGGCATCGACAATTCGGTAAGCGTAACCATTCTGCAACACTCGCTAGAGAGCAAGCACCCTCTTAACTCTACTAGGATTGCCAGACTAGGTCTCAGGAATCTCAATGTAGTGACTGTTTCAGATGTTAATTTCGAAGCTCGGTTCTTGATTCGGTTGATGAAAACTGATTCTGAATCGGGTTTGGTTGGAAATGGTTCGGATAGTTTGACTTTTCATCAAGCTTCGGAAATTAAAGGCACAGAGAATTCAGTGGATGAACATGCTAGTTCGTCCGATTCCAAGAAAGAAAGTGAACCTGGAAGGTTACCCTTACTAAATAGTGGTGGAAAATGCAATTTGCAAAATGATACTGGGGCTATGAAAAGCTCTCTACTACTTGTACTGTGAGTGTAAATTATGGTTTGATTCAAAGTCATGTGTCAATGATTGTGCAGAGAAGCATGATAATGCTGAGATAGATCAAAACATACTGGAGATTCTGCTATTACTGTAGTTATTGGGAAACATGGTGTTATTAATTATCTGTCTCATATGTGGAGGTCTCCAACTCAACCCAAAAAGCCAAGCTTTATCAACATACTCTCTTTTCCGGAAGCTTGTGAATCACTCAAAAAAGGGTTCATGGTGAAGAAGTTGCGGAGGAAGTTAGAGGGAAGCAGTAATCTGCAAGATGATGAAGAATGTGAATTTGAACTTGAAGTTCCTCCTGGATCAGTACTACTATTTCCTTCCGAAACAGCTGTGGATATCACTGACCTTGATGCTATTGATTTTGAGATAAAGAATTTGATTGTCTTAGATGGAACATGGGCTAAGGCAAAAAGAGTTTACAGTGAAAATCCCTGGCTGAACATTTTGCCCCATATAAAGCTGAAGGTGAACAAGATGAGCTTGTATAATGAAGTAAGGCGTGAGCCTAAAGATGGCTACTTGTCCACCATTGAGAGCATTGTCCATGTCTTGAAGGCATTGGGGGAGAATCATGAGGGCCTGGAAAATCTTTTGGATGCTTTTGAATCCATGGTTGGATATCAAAGGCGGTTTAAAGAGGAGAGGCTCACCAAACGATCCTAAGTTTGAAACCTACCTTTCTCAGAGGCACGCAGATATACGAGACAAGCAAAATATACTGTCCTGATTCACGTTCAAGTGGCATGCAGTATTCAATGACTGTTCTGTCAAGCACATCATCCACTTGGCGAATTCTGCTCCCTTTTTGAGATAATGGTGCTTCATTCATACCTTTCTTCTTCACTTGATCTGACAACTTGGTGTAAGCAACGCCAGTAATGGATTGAGAAACTTTATGGCAGTAAGATAATAACCATGAAATTCTGCATAATTTGGGTACCTAGTTTCTGTATCAACAACTTTAATATTATTCTCATACTGGCATGAATGTGGGACAGCACATTACGTGAAGATGGATATGACATTGCAAAATATATCATTTTTCAGTGTGATTTATATCTCATGGTGTCTAATATGTAAGATATATACAGCTCCTTGGGTTTCGTTTGAAGAACTTCTTTCCTACCTCAGTGCTCACTTGTTTGATTCATTTTTAGCGCTGATTTACAGGAGGGAACCAAGATTGGAAAACCCAATCTGGGCATCTCAGCCTTCCTCAATCCTTTATTCCTGTGCTTTTGCTGTTTGATTATTGGGTCTGGTTCTTGTTCAAACTTAATGACAACCATGGAATGGGTAGTGCCATAGTTGTCTTTCTTAAACCAATGATACTCATTGTTTGTTTTTGTTTGGTTCTTTCTGTTATGTTTCAGCTCCCCGTTTTCAGTTGGTTTTCCAGGTTCTTCATCTCCAGCGAATTACTTTCTTAGGCCGAGGCATTGCAAGTTGAAGTCTCACGGAGTTCCTGGCTGGCAAGAAAAAATAATGTGAAATTTGCTTAAAGACTGAGTGCAATTTTTTTTTTTTTTTGAGTTGTCTAAAATTTACCTATAATTATATATAAAAGACATGGAATTAATAATACATAAATTGCACACCTTCAAAAAGACTAGACTCTTAAATATTTTAATAAATTTTTTTTCAGCTAACAATAGAAGGTTTTTCAACAATTTTTTCTGAAAATTTTTGGAAGTATTTTTTTGGAGTAATTTTGACTTTTTTAAAAAAAAAATTTTTAAAGTCTGAGCCTCTCAGAGTCATGTACACTCAGCTGCTTTCAGCAGTGCGGTTAGTCTCCGATTAGTGAAGCTCAGAGTCCGGGTGCAGTGTCATCGAAGTTGAGTTCGCCGCCACGCACCGTCACCGGCGACCGAAGGAGCTCCTTCCGCCCCCTGATGCCAAATGCTGAGGCTCTTGTCATTCTCAAGCCATCGTTTAGTTCCGACATCTTCAAACCTTCGTCTCCGTCGTTTTCTGAGTCAATCCATTGACGAGGATGACATTTATGACCCGCCGTTTTCTCCTGTTCCGAAATCTGCAAGCCCAAAGACGTCCAAGAGCAAAACCTCGAAGGAAGCTCTGAGTACTACCGAAGAGCCTAAGTTCCCTTTGAAATCGGGCCTTCCATTCGATTTCAAATACTCTTACTCCGAGATTGACGACTCCGTTAAACCCATAAGTTTCCGAGAATCGCCCAAGTTCTCTCCATTTGGACCTGGCCGGCTCGACCGCAAATGGACAGGGACTTCTGCGCCGGTTCCGGAGGAATTGGACCGGCGGAGTTGGGAGGAGGAGCGGAATCGGGTTCTTGGAGATCCGCTTTCGGAGGAAGAGGTGGCTGAGCTCATCGAACTTTATCGTCACAGTGATTGTGCTAGGCAGATTAATCTAGGTATGTTTTGGCAAATTTTATGCATGAAGTTGAGTGCGCTTTTGTGATACGAGTATGCAAATGCTTGGGGCCTTGGGCAAAGATACCCTTAAATTAAACAGATTGATAGATAATCCCATTTTTTTATATATAGAAGTCAGAATTCAGTGGAATTGAATCCCGTTGGCTGCTTATTTGGGTGGCATATAGTACAGAGCTATTAATTAATTTTAATATTTCTTGTCAACTTTGCTTTTGGCATAAGAAATATGAACATTGGACTTCCACCCGGCAATATCATAATTTTGGATGTCAATTTGTAATTTGAATAGTTATGTACCTTCAAGACTCATATTTGTATGTATTACATAGCTTTTGACCAAATCAGTGTGGATGGATTGTCTAGCTATAGATAGATGAATTCTTAGGTTTTAGTGAATCCTGGCGGCAAGAAGCTGATGCTCTTTGTGTTAGGGAAGGGGGGAGTCACTCACAACATGTTGGATGACATCCATAACCATTGGAAAAGGGCTGAAGCTGTGAGAATTAAGTGTTTGGGTGTGCCAACTCTTGACATGGACAATGTTTGCTTCCACCTTGAGGTCAATACACACACCCCACACAATATCTGTTGATTTATCAGTGAAAGCATTGATCTTTTTTCTGGAGTTTCCGAAGACTTATACTAATGCATATATATTGCTGTATGTACAGGACAAGTCTGGTGGAAAATCATTTATCGTCACATAAACATTCTGCTTTTATACAGAGGACGAAAGACGAAATTATGATCCCCAGAATCGCCCAGTAATTCCTCTTATGTTATGGAAGCCCTACGCTCCAATTTATCCAAGGCTTGTGAAGAAAGTAATTGAGGGTTTGGCATATGAAGAAATGAAAGAAATGAGAAACAGGGGTTTAAACTCACCACCTTTGATGAAACTCAGTGAGTGAAGAATATGGTTATATAACATAAACTTACAAAATATAATGCTTTGATTTTTCTAGTACATTTCAAAGTAGCACTGGCCCCTATCATATTCTGAAATCTAAATGCTAAGTTGTTCATTTCTATTCTCAGCAAGAAATGGAGTTTATGTTTATGTGGTGGATAAAGTGAGGGAAGCATTCAAGACTGAGGAGGTTTTTGAGACTCGACTGTACTCATGTAGGTGCAAGTGACTGCAAAAAGATTGGAGTGAAGCTTAGAGTATGTCTTCTGAGTCATTAATTTTAAGTTTCGGCCCTTAGCATGAAATCATTATGTGCATAGGTATCCAACTTTATGCTTGTTATTGCAGGATCTTGTGCCATGTGTTCCTATCCTGTTCAAGGATGAGCAGATTATCCTTTGGAGAGGAAATGTAAATTAGATACTACTCAGAGTTCAGATCCAGAGTGGAGTATTGCAGTGTTCGCAAGATGGGTAGCTTCTGTCCACTGACTCCTTTTTACTCTGAGCAGGCTCTGGTAGGAGAACATCAACCTGATTGTAATGCACAGATATGCGACCATTTCTCTTGTATCATGAGTGTAGCTTATAATGAGTTTGCCAGTCAACTTTTTGGATTTTTGGAACTAAAAATTAAGGGAAAAGGATTCAGATGTAGCTTTTGGATATTCTTTATTCGGGTTCATTTATAGGATTGTAACATGAAGGAGTTTCTAAAGAATCAATAACATGATGTGGAGTTGTGAAAATGTTTTCTGATCTTTGTCATACTTATCAATGATGCTGAGAGAAAATAATTATAATGCTGATGATAAGTATTAAGCTTATTATGTTGTAGATGTCCATTTTGTAATACTCCCTCCTATATGAATTAAACTTTATATTAAGGATTGGAGATGGTACATATTTTAACAGCTGAATTAATACTCAACCCTTTTTGACAATGTATGAATGCGATGGATAATTGTTTATATGCAAGCACCACGTTACCTCTATCCCATGCCACAAGGGTTTACTTGCGCTAATTTGGTGTCATTCTTTGTTCCAAGCATTAGTGTAATACTCCCTCCGGTTCAAAATATAAGCTAAACTTCATTGGAAGGGCTTAGTTTCTTTTATAAGATAACATTTACTTTTATCTAAACATTTAATGAGTTTTTTTTTATTTTATTCATACATATTCTTTTTCCTTTTTGATTCATTTATTGTATTTTTTACTTATTCTCTTCATTAATAAGGGTATATTGGGGGGGGGAATATATGCCTTGCATATTTATTGTTTTAAACTTATTTTAATTAGTTTCTTGACAAATGTAAACGAATAAAGTTTAATTTATATTTTGAACTGGATGGAGTATTTAATTAGTAAAAATGCCAGAATTCAAATCAGTAATTAAATATTTGATTTTAAAAAAAGATGAAATTCAGAGCTTCTAGTGATCTTATATTGTTAAATATTCTTGTTTAGTACGGCTTGTGTCGTTATGTTAACATTTTATGTTATTGTATGTTTTGGCAATCCTTATGTGTGATCATGTAAATTTATACTTTGAAATCCAAAGTTGCTTTCAAATATTATGAGGCAGATGTTTGAGCCAAAAAAAAAAAATTATGAGGCAGATGTATGATTCTCGAAAGTTTTGGATTGGCCAATTATCCAAATAGCACCTGCGGAGCACTTACACAATTAGTAGAAGTTTCAAAATCACCTTTGTAATTTGGGGCATTGTTTTCTTTCGAGCCTTTGGGTTATGATCAATAGAAAAATTAAATTTTCACTGCGTTTAATAATAATTTACTTTTTAAATTTTCACATTTGTAACTTCTCTATAGATAAAACTTTATAGAACTTCTCTTGTAATTTTCATCCTTCTCTTTTCATAATTACGGGCGTAATTATTTATTGCGGCGTTTTGATGTTTAAACTTTAAACTCATGCTTTTCAGTACCATTATAGCCTTCGTACGTGCAAAAAATCAAGGCGCGCTTTCAAAAATTGTGCACAAGAAAAGTCAAACATGGAATGCTTAATATATTTATTTATATTTATTTTACTAATGAAGATGGATTAACCAATTACAAGTGGAGTATTGGACATTCTACAAGTGGAGGGAAGTTCAATACCAATATTAAAGGAGTACC